GCCATCCCTGCTCCCCTGTATTTTGGGGTTCCCTGGTAGAGCTTTATGAACAAACAAACATACTCCTTTTTCTGTAACAATAGCTGACCTCTATCATTTTGAATTTAATTTTAATAGTGGACATCAGGAAGGTTTGAAAATTGGGGAATATCACTTGGGGTATATCCTCAGATATGATCCACAATTATTCACCAATTGCAAAGCCAAGGTAAGTTAATATTACTTAATAAGTAGATTTATTACACGACTCGGGCAGTAAGAGAGCCAATAATTAACAATTGGTTCATGCTTTAGCGTGCACTATCGAGTTATGGAGCACGCGGGAAGTTTGGAGAGCACGAAAGAAGCGTAAGAATCGCCTCAGGCAACTCTTACGCTTCTTTTGTGCTCTCCAAACTTCCCGCGTGCTCCATAACTTGATAGCGCACGCTAAAGCATGAACCAATTGTTAATTATTGTTGACAAAATAACTCTTGCACAGGTGAGCTGTAATTTAAGCAATTGCAGAAAACAAGCCTGAAAAAGATTGAAGCTTTAATGGGATTTGATTTGGGAGCAGGGCACATATTAATCAATACAATCAAAACTAGCAGAAATTTTTAGATGGCGAGTCTAAATGCACTGTCACTATTACAATCTGTAGTTATTTGAAATTCTTACATCATCTGCCTTGAAATGAAGCCTGTAATTGGTAATCTGAAGTATACCATGCACAGGTCCAGAGAAGGGACACAAATAGGTAACTTCTTTTGCTGTTGATGCAAATCAAAGTATAATAAGGAACACCGTGTCACACCTGCATGCTGCACCCCCAAATTAAGATGTCTTCTTTATATATGAGTGTATAATTGTGAGCCTTTAATTTCAATATAATTATATCACACAGTCTATGTCCTGCATCACAATTTTTTAGGCTGTTAATCCTTAATTCTCCCCTCTAGCTGCTACGCATTCCCTTTCAATTAGTCACAAGAATTTGGCGTTAGATCTAGAAAACAACCTCTGCCTAATTAGTTTAGTTAATCTTGTTAGCTCTTTGCTGGATAATGGGTTTCATAGGGTGAAGTTATGTGTTCATCACTACAGGGAGTTACAGAATTAAGCTCAGAATAGAAGCAATTCTTGTAGCTCATGATGTAAAGGTCTGGAATCCAATCACTTAATCCTTAATGATGTACCAATTTAACATCTCAGTTTTAGTCGATAATTAAAATTATTACACGACTCGAGCAGTCAGAGGGCCAATAACTAAAATCAACCAACCAAAATGCTCTATTGCCAGTCAATATTCTCTCTGTATTGGACCTGGCACTGTCCCGAATGGTCCTGAATGATACCGCACTTGTGCCCCTTTGAACTTCAGTCGTATAATAAATCTCTTATTAACCAAGCTTGCTCGAGACCGTACTGGAAGAACATCAGCCCTCGGTCTTTTTTGTACCGACCTCGCTGCACTTGGTCCATACTGTCAAGACCTCGGCCCAATATTCTCCCAGTACGGCCCTCGCGCTTGGTTAAGATAATTTATATGTAATTTTGCCAGATTTGAGCCTTTGCCTTTGTTCACCAGCAAACATAATTTATTGTGAGAATTACCAGTTGCTTGAACTTTCTCCCCATCAAGCAATTTGAGGTCACCTTGAGAGATGGTGTCGGCCTGAAACGATCATATAACTATCATAAGTTTAATTTAATTTAATTTAGTCCATTTTCACTGCATTAAGTTTTGCAGTGGGGAAGGACTAGAAAGGAACATAGGAACCATTCGTGCTAGTCCACCCTCCCACCCATCCCACCCCCAGGGGAGGACATCCATCACACAGTAATCTCGTGTGTGGGAAATTAACGTCTCCTACCC